TAAAGTTGATCTCACTAAATATCTTACAGTTTTTGGAAATAGAATTAACCTGTCCTTATGCTACCTGATTTTATGCCTTTTTTTTTTTTTTTTGCATAGCGATGCATGTGATTCTTTATCGAAAGCATGTATTCAAGTTTCTGTGTTTAGTTAGCTATTATTAGTTGTTTGGTATGCAAAAATGCATTATAACGTGGCTGCAGATTTCAAGAATATTGTAAATATTTGGCTAAAAAAGATTCAAACCTATATGTATGCATCACAAGACAAGGTATTAAATGTCAAGTGATCAGTCCTGACAGTTACTGTCATAGGAAGTTAGTGAGAGGTAGATCCCTGAAGTTTGAGAATGTCTCTGAAGATTTCTTAGAACAGCTAAGTACTCTGATGACAGCAGAGTACTTAAAAAAAGGAGAAGAAGGAAAGGGAGTTTGAGTGGATAAACAGCATAAGCAACTTCCCTTTATTTTGAAATTTTGTAAGGTTGAATTCTCTTTAATGCGCTCATAAAAGCATTCTCAGAATTTTTTCTGATATGAAAACATTATTTCCTTGGTAAGTGACTCAAATTATATGTAGAACCATCCAAAACTTTTCTCTTGGGTAGATAATTCTGAATGTATATTAAAATTTTACTGCACATGAATATCTATGGGATGTACAAGGATGTGTTTCTCAGCTTCACAGATTTGGAAGATAACAAGTCATGGCAAATGAAAACCTCAGCACTCCAATGTTCATACTTTTAGGCTTTAGTGAATTTGCACACTTTTGAATAAGTTACTTAAATATTTATATATATTTACATAAATGAATTAAGTGAAAATTCATTATAGTATTAATTTTTCATGTAATAGGTAATTGTAGTTTGAAATACTCCATAAGTTAAAAAGGAGCACAACAGGCTTTAAATTATGCTCAGAAAAAGAAAATAAGAATGAGAGAGTTCCCTTACTTGGGCAGTAAGAATAATCACAACTGATGCCACAATGTGACTGAGCAGTCTACCTCTTATTTTATCTCCTTCTCTACCAAAGGGAATAATTTCCAAACTGGAAATAACAAATATGAATAGAAGAGCATTGAAGATTAAGATAGGTGAGGAGATAATAAAATAATTTAGTGACATGTGCAAATTCAGGTCATAAAACCATATGAATTATATCAGAACAACAGGAGAACGAGCAGTGAGAACTGAGGTGGTACCATTTTGCAAACTTGTTGTGAGGACAAGGTGCTGTAAGACTGGATATTGGAAATTAGACTTGCCTAAGTCTGAAACAGTTGTGCAAGGCAGCCTCTTTGTGGCCATCATCTGACATGTCACACAGTGTGGATTAGGGAACAGACTTCATTGGGTAACAAATTTACAATCAAAGATCAGAAAAAAGATAAATAAGAGGGCTGTGTCTTCTGATCCTCCTGATATCCACTGGGTGGGTGGTCAGGGCCAGGTCACTCAGTTGAACACACAGCGTGTGTGAAATTTTAGGTAGTGGGAATCCCTCCTTTTGTTGCTGTCCTTATTTACAGAGCAAGCCTCAGAGCAACTTTTCAATGGAGGGAGGAGGCAGAGCAAGCTAAGAAGCATCTGGGCACCAGCCTTACTGAGCGTGGGTGCCAGCTGGTCATAGGAGTTATTTAAGAAATTTGCCTGGTCAGCACCTGTGCAAAGTTGTGCTCCCCTTTTTAGGGGAAAAAAAGCTAACAATCCAGGGGGAACTGAGTTTGGAAACAACCCTACCATTAGGAGGAGGAAGGAGCCCCCAATTCTGATTGGCTCAGTGTCCAGGCAGCCCAAGGTGAACGAACTCTCAGGGTCGTTTTAGAACATTCGTGCTTGTTGCACCACAGAACCTCAAAAAATTCTAGAATAGATTTTTCTTAACAGATGATCAATGATGGCCCTTGGGAAGTGGGACCTTCTGATCACTCTCAGAAATGAAGATCAGTTCATGGTAGACATGTCTACAAAGCAGGGCTGTGCATGAGTGAAATATGCCTAATGACATGTGAAGCTATCATATTGTACCTGCTCTAAATTGGGCCGTTCTTTATGGGGCTGGAGGTTGTCTGAGTCAGTGGTATTGATATTCAATCCTTGTTTGCTAATTTGTGTGGTCCCCCAGCCCTCCATCTTCCGAGGGGCCTCTCAAATGTACTTTGGCTAGAAACCTCCTCTTTCAGTTATCTATGGTCAAGTCACCAATTAAAACATGTTCCCTTGACTGAGCATGAGTGATGCCTCAAAGAAGGACTTGTTCTGTATTTACTAACCATGCCAAGCCTCCACAATGCACACGGTGGGGCCACAGCTGATACCAGTGTGGATTCCACCATCAGGAGTTTCTTCTAAGGACCCAAGAAAAATGGTGAGCACGCTGGCAAGCATTGTCCTTTCACCTCGCTCTCTCTCTTTTTTTTTGTTTTGGTGATTGGCCTGTATAGACATCTGAACCCATGACCCTGGTGTTATCAGCACCTCTTTCCAACCACTGAGTAACCAGCCATCCCTCACCACTCTTCTTGATGCCTTCTTCCACTCCCATCCTCAGACACTCATTGTCCTTTGTCGTCCTCTGGTGCCTGATAATTCTTGCTGTACCACCTCATTTAGTCTGTTGCCTTTTACAGCTTTCCAAAATACTTGTTTACTCTCTTTTATGCCTCATCAAAATACTGATCCTATTTAGCATTCTAACTGAAGTATACTTTACCTTTTTTCTTAAAGTACTAATATAGAATTTTAGTTCAATTTATTCAATTTCAAAAGAGTACAGAAATTTATTTAAGAAATAATCTACAATTAAGAAATAATCTAAGAAATAGAGTGGCAATTGAAAAATTTTTCTTTGGGCTGGCCTGGTGGTGCACTGGAGAGTGCGCTGCTTGGGAGTGTGGCGGCGCTCCCCCCGAGGGTTCGGATCCCTTGTGGAGACCGGTTCCGCTCACTGGCTGAGCATGGTGCGGGCGCAACACCGAGGGTTGCGATCCCGTTACCGGTCAGTAAAAGAGAGACAAAAAGGAAAAAGAAAAAAAGAAAATTTTTCTTTACTTAATACAATATTTGGACCTAACTGATCTTTGTTGTGTACCAGGCAATGCTTGCTAGCACATTCAATCTCAGCAGCCTTTGGGAGTAGATACTTAATTACCTTATTTTACAGATGAAGAAACTGAGAGAGATAGTATAATAACTTGCCCAAGGTTATAGAGCTAATAAGCATCCCGACCAGGATGCAAACCCATCCAATTGGTCTTGGAGGCCAGGTTCTTGACATCTGAAGTACAGTGCTGAAGTCTGAATTTGGAGCTTGATCCCCATTGTAATGGTGTTAAGAGGGTGAGAAATCTGACTAGGATATTTGAAAGATGGGGCCTTTAAGAGGTGATTGGATTGTGAGGACTGTGCCCCACAAATAGATTAATCAACTCATGGATTAATGGTTTAACAGTTTGCTGGGTTATCAGAGAGTGTATTGATGGCTTTATAAGGAGAGCAAGTGAGCACATGGAAACCCTTTTGCTGGGCCCGCATCATATGATATCTTGCATCACCAGGGGACCTTGGAAAGAGTTCCCGCTGAGAAGAAAGCTGTCACCAGGTGTGCCCTATTGACCTTGGACTTAGCCCTCAAAACTGTAAGAAATAAATTATATTTCTTTATAAACTATCCAGATTCAGGTATTCTGTTATAAGCAGCAGAATCGGACTAATACACAGAGTGACTCTAAACCAATGGTTTTCAAAGTGTGGCCCCAGACCACAAGCAAGAGTATTGTTTGGGAACTTATTAGAAATGCTAATTCTCAGGCCCCACTTAAAACCTAGCAAGTCGGAAACTCTGGAAATGGGGCCCAGCAATCTGTGTTTTAATAAGCCTCCAGGTGACTCTGATGTCCGTTCAAATTTGTGAACCTCTGCTTTAGGGAATAGTAAAGGAATTATTAGTACAGACTCTAAATTTTATTTTATTTGATAGAAAATTATTACACATATTAATTTTTTTCTTGCCAGCAACTTTTAATCTGCATTAATTGCAATTTATTTATAACTAAAATAGCTACATATCTTTTTTAAGAGCCAAAGAAGATTTTAAAGATTCAAATAGAAATACTAAGAGATGAAAAAATATTTTTCTTCTGCAAAGCAAGACTACTTAAGATCCTTGAAGAACACAATCAATTCAAATCTGGCAACAGATTTCAATGCATTTACTTTAGATCTTCAAGCCATTTGCTAATGTCATATCCCAGACAAGATTCCCGGTGGAAAGAAGTTAAGATACCTGTTGTTAAACATTTGCCTGCTGGTACTTCACTGACAGCCACCTCCCCTACATTCTCTATGTGAGTTTAATACTGCAGGAGGTTGAAAAAAACTTCTTCATTTTGTAAAAAAATGGAGAACGTGGATTGTGTTATGTGTGCATATGCATGCCAGCTCCATTTGCACCTTATCTTCTACCAAACTGAACTCAAAAGCAAAATAAGACCTTTCCCAGTATAGCGGGTATGTTGCTAGGAAATACACTTTCAACACATAATTTGCATTTTACGATGAATCTCTTTGAAAAATAGTTAAGTCCCTCCATGTAATGAAATTATTATATTCCTTCAAGTCTTGAACTAAATCAAGATGCTTTTCCTTATCTAAACCTGAAGATTCCGATGACCTGGGAAGACAGTTAAAATAACTACATTGGTAAGACAAATAAAGTCTTAGTATTTTTTTTTTCTTATTTCTAAAACTCAATTGGTACTCCAGTGCAAGTACTAGTTACCTAAATGTATTAGCATCACAATATTTTTTAAGTGCACAAGCCCTGGAAAAAGAAATATCCTATCGATCCAGCATCACAATTAGCATCTCACATGTCTTGAGGGTGGGACATAGGCAGATAATTGCCAGAGAGAGAAAGAGTGAGCACACAAGACACAAGAAAGTCCACCAAATCCATATGAAGGAAAAAAATATTTCACACTCATCCTCCTCTTCATCATTTCCTTCTGAGACAGAGAATTCTCCTGAAGGGTTGTTGTAACTTAGAATTACTCCAAATTATTATGACTGAATGGCCGGAGGGATAAGCTGCCATTATGTCCTTCACCACAAAGTACTGCTGACTTCCATACGGAACGCTAAATGTCATATTTGTCATGAAGGCAGCAAAATAAGAAATAAAGAAGCAGAAGAATGTTACCACTGTTCTTAACGCATTGATGTGGGCTTCTGTGCTGGCATTTCTAAGCCCATGAGATCCGCTCTGTATGCGATGAGTGTGCTTGTAAAGAGAGACAAATAACAGAGAAGTGCACATCACGAATATGCCGAGAGGCAATACTAACGCCAAGTTGACGAGGAGCACATCGTTAATTTGCATTCTCTTGGGTTTAATCTTCTTTAGCGTGGTGTTTCTGAGCTCATCATCTTCCACATTTTTAGGATAATCTACCTCGATACATACAAAGGCAATGCTCACGGAGGCCAGCAGGCTTCCCAGAAGCAGCCAAGGTATCAACCTTGGGATCCGGAATTTCAGCCAAAGAAAATAGGACTGAGTGAAGCCTGAAATCTTGAGGCAGTAAAATATAGAGAGGCAGGTGGCAAACCAGAGACTGACAGAGCTAAAAAACATCCAAAAGAATATCATCGTTGCACCATAAATTCGTTCCATGTAAAAGAGTGGAAAGAACACAGAGAAAAAACTTTGTACCATTAACACCGTCTGCAGACCAAACCTAGACATCCCTATACACATTAAAAGGATTTGCATTGGTGTTAGCTTTCTACGTTTGACCAGTTCATTACAGTTTATGATGATAAGAAATCCATTCACTGTAATGCCCGTGAAGAATTCTGCTGACATGATGGTAACATGAAGAACAGCTGACAGAGAGAAGGCCATGTTTCCTGTGACAGCTCTGAGCTTTTCCTTGTGGATGGTATTAAATGTCTCCTCTAGATGATCTTGCAGATAGGAACACGCAGCACTTAGAAATCTGATCTTCTGCCATCTCCTGGATCACAGGTAGAGTCTTACACTAGCTTCTCCTCTAAGGAAGAAAATCTGAGAGACTACTTTTTGAATCTGTTGCTCTTCAGATGAAACTATGAGAATGCAAATCCAAAGATTTGAATGATGGTTAGGTCTTCCAATTACATCCTAGGAAAAATTGCCATATTGGCACGATTCCATTCTCACTTTTACTCAATTTTGCAAAAAAAAACTAATTATAAGTATGTTTCATTTAGGTTACTGCTATTTTTGTTTTTTAATTTTTTTCTAATGCCAAATACAGCATCCTCAGGACAGATACGTATTTCCACCTATTGCATACTTATCCAATCTCAGATGTGGCTCTTTCCCCAGCACACTTTCTGCCTTATAAAAATTTGGAGACATTTTAGTTAAAAATTTCCCACTCTGTACCCTACCCCCAACAAAGGCAATTTCTTTTACCAACTTGAAAAACAGTTCGTGAGGAACTTTTTTAATAGAATCTAGGAAATACTTTCCCCTAAATATATCATGTTTTTACAGGCTTCTTGGTAGAATGTGCAGTTTAGGATTAGCAAACTAAAGTTATGAAAGTAGTGCTTAAGTAATCCACATGTTGGCATCATTATGGTATTTCATTTCATTTCCAAAGGTAGAGGGTACAAAAGCATTTAACCACCAGCAGAGGGCGTGATTACTACGTTACAATGAGCTGCTTCCCTTCATTAGGTAGAGGTGTTCACATAACCTTGCTGAACTTTGGTTACATCTGATATAAAATGTAAATAAACCATTACTACTTCTTAAAAGAAGACATGTTGCTCAAAGTGCTTAGTTCGGTGGCTGGGTCATGCTAAGCACTCAACAAGTGTTAAATACTATTAGCATGATTACATGTTTGTCCTCATACTGTACTTACCATAACAAGAAAATGATTCCATAAAGAAGCATTTTCAATAAGAAGTCTAAAGAATAAGACTGTAAGAGTGCTGAAAATAAAAAAGACAAAGAACTGGATTTGCAGCCCACTGTCCACACCAGTCATGGTTTGTAGAGCCGCCCAGGGTCCTCCGTGGAATGTGCATCCACTAGCAGATGAAAGCAAATGTCAGTGCCACCTGTGGAGCTCCTCCTGCCAGCCTCATCATTCCCCAACCCATCTTCTTCACACCATCAAAAATGCAGCAAGATTGATCCCATCTCCATCTCGTTTAAAATCCTGGTTTCATGACCCTTATATCAATGTTGCCTCAGTTTTACTCGTATTTATAATTGACCCATAATAATCGTACATATTTATGGAGTACAGTGCGATGTTTTCATGCATGTATACATTGTATACTGATCAAATCAGGGTAATTGCCATGTGTATTACTTTAAACATTTATCATTTCTTTGCAGTGATAACGTTTTGGTCTTGGTCTTTCTTGCCTATAAACCGTGACTTGGCTCAGCAAATGATATTTGCTTTTCCCCAGGTCTCCTGGAGGCAAATTCTAGGTACAGGTGAAAAAACTTTGTTTCAACCTCAAACTCTAGACCAGTGTCATGACTGTGGGGTAAATAAAAGCTAATCGAGATTTGGACAGTTTAAAGCCTAGGGTCCTAAATTACCTCTCTGAGGTTAGAGTATACATTTTAAATGTTTGCATTTAAAAGGATCTGCTAATTGAGTTTTCAAATGCTGTAGATCTACACAGAATTCTGGCTCTTAGTTAAAATAAAAATTCAATCAATCTAATTCTTCCAGTTTTCAAAAATTCTTTTTTATTACTATTTTATTATGATTGTGTTTCACTTAATGAACTTGCTGAGTTAAAAGTGCTTGAGCAAGTGAGGGACAGCAATTTGGCATATACATAACCAGCCAGATGGCATGTACATTCCAAATTATTAATTACATAATATTAGATTAAAAATTTTGGAATGTATACTGACTATTAGGGGTTTTTTTTTTTTTATCATGGCAGATGTCCATTACATTTTACCTATACTGTTACAAGCCATTATGAAAAAGATATATTAACATGCACCAAATACTTCCTGTTCTAGTGCAGCAATGGGGATCTTTTAGTATTTCAAATATCTTCACCATTATAACCGGTATTTGGATAGATAACAATCTATATATTATCTTCCTTATTCTCAATTATTCCTATTCTATTCTACGATTTTTTCTCTCAATTTTCCATTCTAAACTAGGGTATTAAAAGATGGATCAACATATGAAAACTCTTGCTAGCAAAAAAAATTAACAATTGTAATCAAGATGAATTTCTCTCATAATTATATTTTACAAAAACATTTCATTGTTAAAATTGCATTTTTTATAATAGCTACCTCAGAATGCATATATGCTATGGATATAATTTTTAAGCAGTTCTTTTTGAATTTTACTTCTTAGATAAATACATAATTTATAAGCTAGAGTTTATCCCCATTGAGTGTCCAAATGCTTTACATTTTTTTGCTGATTTAGCTCCAAACCCCTTTGCATTTATTCTGTTCACACAGGCACAGCTGGCCATATAGACTATAGACTAAATGATTCTGCTATGAGATTTGAATTTATACAGTTTGTTTCATTCTTAAATCCTGGATTCCGGCTTTCATTTGCCTCTCTAAATACATTATTTAATTGAAGAGAAAGTTTGACTTTTCCAAGAACTATTCTAAAAGTGTAATTGACATTAAGCTACAATTTAGTTAGTTTGTATTTGCATTTGTGATTTTCCTGTCCTACGTGGACTATTTTGCATTTGACCTTATTGAATTCCATTTTGGAAGAGTTTTAGTGACGAGCTCTTTCTCAGATACAGGTTAATTGTTAGTGAGACAGTCTTGAAGTTATTAATCCATAGGCTTGTTAGAGATTTGGAAAAGGCAGTGGTCAAACGAAGAGAGATGATTTGCAAATTAAACAATAGTTGACAGTTTTACTAAAATAATAGATTTCTTTTTAAAGAAAAACAGTATCTACCAGGAGGTAATGAATATTTAGAATTCATTAAACTAATTTCAGTTCAATCACTTTCCAATCATGTATATTCTTCTTCTAAATGCTCACATGATAGTTGAGGACTTCGGTGGAGTTTTTGTTTGTTTGTTTGTTTGTTTCTTTACTTTGAACAATGTGGTTCTAAGAGAAGTTTCATAAATTAGGTGGAAAATTAGGATGTACTTTAAATATTGGTATTATGACCAGGTGTTTCCCATGCTCAGCAAGCTACTTGTTTGGTTCCTGTTTGTTATAACTGCACAAATGTTTGAATTTTTAAAACAAGTACATTGAATTTCTACTTTGCCAGTGATTAAACTAGGTGCTTCATAGATCACAAAAAGATTGAGGCTGTTTTCATTCTTTCCATTGAAAATATTTTTGTTTGCAATTTTTCCACTACCCTTGCTTTGTTCTTGAAGTTTTACAGATATATTTTATTTTGCTTTTGAAGTCTTTCAGCTTTAAAGACTGAATCCTTTATTGATCCAAATTAATGTGCTGAATAAACTTAATTTCATGAAAAACACTCAAAATACACTGTGACCTTCTACAAATAACAGACTCAAAATTTCACTTACATTCTGTCATGTTATAATGTGGTCATAGAAAGTGAAAGGAGGAGTCTACATGGTTTTAAAAGATACTTTGTTCACACACTGGTAGCATTTAGTTCACTGTCTCCTTGCTAAGACCAGACTCTAGTCACTGCAGAAAAAGCATTTTGAAGTTCATGCAATGTATCTTCACCTTTTTATGTTCAGTGTAGTTTTTTTAAATTTTGAGTTTATTTCAGTATTCTAATAGGTTGTCTCTATGGATTTTGAGCTTGGAGACAAAAAAAAATTTTTTTTTTTTTAATTTTTAAATTTAGTTTCTGAGTTCCCTTCCAAGTTTCCAGAATAATATCAAATACCAGGCGGGTAAAGGAGAATCGAGGTAGGGTGATCATCAGGCTCACAATCTAAGCTGCCAAAATTATTTCCATACATGTTATATTGTATCCATGGGTTTATACTCTGAAAAAAAGTAGACATAAAATTTAAATTATAAAAATTAAGGAAACAATCATTGTATTTGTATTTGACAATAATTTATCAGTTTATTTGCCATTATATTAACAAATAGTTATTTTATTCTTATAAAATATATTCCAGGCATTGTTCTACACATTATCATTTAATGTTTACTGCAAAACTATGGAATTCTCTCTTTTGCTAAGGATAATGAAGAGCAGAAATTGAAGCTTAAGGATAGTGTAAATAAGGATTTGAATACAGGTGGTCTGACTCTGTCCCGAGCTCATGTTGTTGACTAAAATACTACAGTATATTCAGATTGGAGTACTTTGCTTTGCCAACGTTGCTAGAAAAAAAATGTAAATTTAATTGAAAGTCACAGTTTAATAGCTATAACCATTTCCTTCGCTACATACAGAAATAGGAAAAGAATAAATTTAATATTTGTTTAGGAAAATTTGTAAGGTGATGAAACTGTAGAATATTGACCTTGTATTATTAGCATATTTGATGCCATGGGACTAAGGCAGCAAACAGCAAATAAAACTTAATAATAAGTATTCAATACATATTGTGTATCTAATATTCTGTGGAAAATGAGACATGACTGAGTTCATGTGAAAGTTGTAGAACTTCTAGGACTCCTACAAATCTTAATGCTAGAAGAAAGAAGTCAGATTCCACCACAACCATTCCCATTTTATATAGGAAGATATTTTCAAATCTTAAAGGTTAACTGACTTTTTCAAGATTATGTAAGTAAATACAGGCAGAACTTGTGTAGATAATTTTCTGGTGTTAGATTTCCTTCTAGGTAAAACAAGTGTAGAGTTAAAAAAAAAAACAGATGAAAATCTACAGTTTTGATTTTGTCAACATTTTCAGATTCT